TACTTGTGTGATAACCTAAGAATATGCATTCTAACACTAAGAGCAATTAGAATTCTCTTGTAAGGAACAGTGAGTTTCCTTACATATTTTTGACTGTACCCACTTAGTATCAAAACCTCTTGCTAGACACTGAGGAACTGAAGGGTCTGATCAACTCTAAGTCTTCCTTGTTGTCTAGTACCTCTCAGGAATTATTAGTGAGTAAAGTTACAAATTTTTGAATAGAAACAGAGACTACTTACTAAATTAGCCCCTAGTAGGTTCATAATGCTTTAGAACACTGTAGAACACTTCTGGAACATATTAGCACATATTAATATAGACTAGTACTAAATATGCTAGAGGTTTACATTGATTGGATAGGTCAAGGACTAAACATCCATAAAGGCAAAAAGGAATGAACAAGTGTGTACTAAGTTTACAGACAATAGACAACAAGATTATTCATTAGATATTAATTACAATATAGCTATCAAGCCTTGGCAGATAATTCTAGGAGGGTACCCAAGTCTGGATATTAATACTAACATGCTAGAATGTAAGTCCTTGTTCCTTAAGGGCTGGAGGCATTTTGAAGAACCTATACTAGGTAATAAGTCCTTGTTTACACAAGGTTAGAGGCACTCTAATAAACTACTACATACTAGTAATGTAGAACTAAGGTATGTAATTGTACTAGTACATATAACTAGTCAAATGTACACTATAGAGTAGAAACTAGTAAGTACTCACACTACTAGGCTTGTAGGAATAGTAAACAAAAGTACAAAGAGTGAAAATACTTAAGTAATTGTTCTTAAGGATTTAGACAGTTAAGTTTAGAACAAATAAGTAATTAGTTTTAAGGATTCAGCTAGTCAATTAACAAAAGCAAATATAAAGGAAGATAGTATAAATCTATTAAGTATATAGTTAGTATCAGTAAGAGTGTAAACAAGTATCTAGTAAGTACACTTACTTTAGAACAGAAATACATTAATAATAGTAATATAGAGAGTAATCAGACACTTAAGACCCTTTTTGTCAGTGACAGTATAGAGGGGACCTGAAGGCTCAGTAAGGGGACTCAGGCTACAACTATCCTACACAACAGAAATACAGGATACAAGTACTAGAACATAGTTGGAACTTGTAGGACAGGCAGAAAGAGAGAGTAAGACAAGTATAGAGTATATAGAGTGAGTCTAAGAGTACAGGACTACCTAGAGTAGACAAGATCAAGACTACTGGACCAGTCTTATCTTATACATGTATATATACTAAACTACACAAGAGTACTCAGGGAATGATAAGCTACAAAGAATGAAGAATAAGGGGGTCAAAGATAAGTGTACAAAGAATGAAGGGGTGGACAAAGGGTAAGAGACCTTAGAATGAACAAAGAATAAAGGGGTAGACAAAGGAAAGGAGTAATAAGGTAGAGAGGGGTAACAGTAAGAGTTATAGGGAGAACCAGTCTGTATATAGTCTATATATAGTGTATCTAAGGGATGGAAGTCCTAAGTTCTAGTACAGAAGAGTGTAGAACTGGCAGAACTGAGAGTGTAAGAGTAGCAAACTGTAACATCACCTCCTCTCTAAGATTAATCATCCTGATTAGTAAACATTGAGCTTAGTTAGTAGCTTAGACATAGGTTAGAATAGTAGGGTTTGGAAATTTGTAGAGTAGAGTTAGTGTTGAGTACTCAGATGAAGTTAATAAAAGTCTTATATTGTATTAGTAGTATAGGTGAGATTTTCAGTAGGTTCCTAAGTGTGTTCTTCAACTAGATACCCTTTCTAGTAGACAAGGAACTTAAGCTTTCTGTACACTAACTTAGTATCTACTATATACTCTACTTTGTATTCCAGTTTAGAACTAATGAGTTCTGGTAAAGGTGGTAAGAGTCTTTGTTGTGAAGGAAAACTTAAATCATAGTACTGAGACAACAGAACCTTGTTAAACACTGAGTGTATGTGTTTCTAGGTTGCTAGGAGTTAGAGTTTGTAGGTAGAGGTACTGACCTTCTTCTTAATAACAAAGGGTCTGAAGCACTTGTTGTCCAACTTCTTTATTAGACAATCTGTAGTCAAATTAGTAGCTTCTAGTATTACTTTGTTACTAGGCTAGTAATCCTTGACTGTAGATCTCTTCCAATCATAGTTCTACTTTATAACCTGTACTACCTTCTTTAAAAGAGCTTGTGTGTCCTCCCTAGTTTTATACATCTGTTCTGTAAAGTATGTTACAGATTCAGAACTACTATTCTGGCTCAGAACTGTTCTCTAATACAGATACCTTCTATAGTTGAGAAAGAACAGGGACTGTCCTGTAGTAGAGTGTTACTAGTTATTGTACACAAATTCTGCTAGTACTAACTATTCAGACCAATCTAACTACTAATAATTAATAAACATCTAGAGATAGAGTTCAATCTTCTGATTAACTTACTTAGTTTAACTATTAGTCTGTAGATAATATACAGTAGAGGGGTTCCCTTAAATTCTAAAAAGGGTGTACAAGTCTTATATGAATTTTGACTCAAATTACAGTCTATAATTATGAATGAGCTTCTGAGGGAGTCTGTATAGCTAGAAGACATAGTTCTGATAAATGTACACTATACTTTTAGAAATAAGTTCTGTTTAGGTTAGAACTGTATAGACTTACTTAGAGAACTGGTTAACAATTATACAGATAGTGTTGTAACCCTAAGACTCAGGTAGCTTACTAATCAGGTCTACTGAGACTTCTTCCTAAGAGTAATCTAGAATCTGATACAGATGTAGAGAGGCCTAAACCCTTGTCTAGTAAGTCTTAGTCTGTTAGTACATATTATAACTACTTACATACTTTAGGATTTCTCTCTACATTCCTGACTACTAGTAGTTCTGAGTAATGAGTTCCTACATTTTGTGTTAGCCTAAATGTTCTACAGTTAGATTGTTGTAATAAGCTTAGACAATGTCCTCCTGTAGCTTCTAATCCTTCAGAATGTACAGTCAGCCTTTCTAGTAAACCTGTCCATCCTTGTCCTCCTTCCAGTCTCTAGCCTACTTCTCTAGCTACTTTACTACAACCTAGTCCTGTGTGTGTCTCAGAGCTTACTATATATAAGTAACAAAGTCAACATCCTTAGACTTGAGTCAGATCTCTTAGATTGTCTCAGATGTAAAACAGGAATTGTTAAGGAGAACAAGATTTTTGTTATTATTCTCCCTCCTTTTATAACCTACTTGTCTTAAGAGTAAATCAGCTTTTGTCATTTGCTTTTTAGGTTTGTAGGTTAGTACAAAGTTATAGTTCTATAGTTCTAGCATCTAGTAGGCCTAGTAGTGGTTGAGCTTCTAAGGTGCTCAGAAGTATTAGAGATTAAGGTGATTACTCTAAATCTCAAACTTCTATACAGCTCTAAAGAGATATTAATACTACTCCTCTAGAGAACAGACAATTGTAAGGAGTTTCTTATTATAAATAGGGTAGTTCTGTTCAGTTATAGAGAGGGATTCTGATTGGAATACTATTAGACACTACTTTTCATTAATAAACTAGGATAGTACTACTCTATTTGTAAAGTTGAAAGAGTTGGCTTTAACTTAGAACTTGTCTGTAACTGTCAGAACTACTAATATAAGTTTGCTAGTAATAGTCTGCTTAAGGGACTCAAAAGTAGACTGTTTCTAAACATCCTATTATTATAGAACATCTTTACTAGTGAAACAATTGGCATCATACTAAGAACTGTACATTACATGCAGACAATCATAGCAATCAATTCCAAACACTCATGTGACTCATAGAAGCCTACTAAAACTCCTGTGAAGTGTCTAAGAGAAGATCACAGGTGATTTGTTAAGTTCAAGGGGGAGCTAAACCACAAGTCTTAGGAGACTAAAGTGGTTCTGAACAGGTGCAAGTTCTTCCAGCACAGTTGTGACCTTGGAAGAGTGATGTGAATAATGGAAAGTGTACTTTGCAAAGTACACAACAAATGATCTGATACAGAAAATGATGAAGACTAAAAACTATGCCTCATGCTAGAGGACTTCAAGACAAGAGACAAGAGCTAAATCAATGAGTGAACTATCTGAATTCCCCCCATATCTAGTACATGAGTAGCTGTATTTATAGTTTTCTGAGTTCTGGAAAAGTATAGTACTAACAGGGAAATGTTATGACTGAACAAAAGAAAAATAACGAAATATACAAGAACAAATAAGAGAACCTTTTGCCAGAGGTTGGAAGAAAAATAGGGTGGAAATGTATGAGGAAAATTTAAGTAGTCTGCATTCTAGCCATAGGAAATGTTATGCAAAAGGGAAAAGCAAGATTTACATTGAAAGAAATAGAAGGTTCTCATACTGTTATCATCTGATTGGTACAGACAAAGTGTAAAGAGTTCTGAGATTTCTGGCAGTCTCCTGAGATCAACACTTTGATTGTCCTAATGTCCTATCTGATTGGAAGATTGTAGTACTTTGATCTAGGCAATGATAACATAATGGTTTGCTGAGCCACTTGCTGTGACACAACTTGTGTTCTGAGCCTGTGATAAGCATGTGATCTGTACATCCTGTGGAGAAAACAATGTGTGTAAGCCAATTCTGAGACTGTACACTCTTGCAGTTCTGTTTGTAAATGCTTACAATACAGAATAGTTGGGTGTTCTCAGAGTAGGCTTCTATGAGTCATGTGGGTGTTTGGAATTGATTGCTGTGATTGTCTGTATGTGATGTACAGTTCTTAGTGTGATACTGATTGTTTCATCTCCTAGTACATTTGCTTGTGACTGTCTACAGTCACATGGTTGATTTAATGATTGGTGGGCTGAATGTAAGTTCTGTGTGTGTGTGAACATTGTTGCTTATTCTTCCTGCTTCCTTCCATCACTCTTGCCATGTCATTGCTACTCCCTAGCAAATCCAACAGTAAGTGTTGTACTCTTTTCTACTCTTTTTATACTGATTTTGTGATTTTCCTCAGAAATTGTGTGTGTAACAACATAGTAGCCAGTAAGGGAATGGACATGGATGACAAGCTAGTCAAACATATGCTCAGTGAGTACCTCTGTGAAGTGTATTGTCTCTGGCTCATATACTGATGTGCTCTACAGGTTCTGATACAGAAAATGAACCAGAGGACAAGGTTGTGAAGGAGGAAACTAATGGATCAACCATGGATCCTGAGTCTGAAGACAAAGAGAGCTCAGACAATGACACTCACAATGATGATGATTCAGAGGGTGAGGAGGTTTTGTCTGTGCTAGTAGAGGGTCAATCTGGCAGTAAGTCTCCTATTTCCTGATTTCTGATCTGTCTACTAACACAGAACATTTTATAGATTGTAAGGTAACAGTAGAGGAGCTTGTAAAAGCAAAGGAGGACAAAGCTGCTACTAGGGCTAAAGTGAAGGTAGAGGCTGAGAAAGCAATGTGGGCCAAGGTTAAGGAAGAGGCTCAGGCTAAGGTAAAGAAGGAGAAGGAGAGGGGAAAGGAGAAGGAGAGGGAGAAGGCTACAGTCTTGGCACAGTCAGTAACAAAGCAGAAGGATAGGAAGGAAAAGGAGGGGTCCAAAGGTATGTGTACAAGTATGGCTAACAAATTGTGTACAATAACTAACTGTTTACACAGGTTCTAATACTGTCACAAACACAGAAAAGTTGAAGGTGGTAGTAGAAAAGGGGAACAAGCCAGGTATGAATTAAACATATGGCTAACAAATTGTACACTACTAATGTTGTCTTTGCCTAGTTCCTGAAGGAGTTGTAAAACCAGAAAAGAAAAAGCCAGTTGTAGAGAAAGAGAAGGTCAACACAAGAAGGGATAGGAAGGAGAAACAAGTCATAGTCAGTAAGTACAAGTATGGCTAACAAATTGTGCCAAGCTAATATAATGTTTCTCCTAGTTCCTTAAGTAGTTACAAAGCTAGAAAAGAAGAAAGAGGACAAAAGTAAGGAAAAAGGTAATGTGGATGAGAGGTAGTTGATTTTCTAGGTATACTGACTCCATTTTGTTGTCTAGAGCCAGTACTAGTACTCCTAAGTAAGAAGCACACTATTGTAGAGGTAGAGATTCTAGTCTCTAGCAAGGAAACATGTACAAAAAACCAGAAGGTTGTGGTGGAGTCTTCAAGCAAGGAGGACAAGGATATCCCTCTGGATTGGGTAGAGGGAATGGTCTTCTACACACCTGAGTGTGTGAAGTGTGTAGAGAGGCACAAGGGTCCTCAGGGATTCACTTGCCAGACTGTAATAGATTGGCTGTACTATAGTAATCCAAGTAAGTCTGTTTTAATCTTATTTTTGACTGTGTCAATAGTAATCATTTGTGTAGAAAACTAGTGTACAGTATACATATTCTGCCACTCTGGATGTAGCCTGAAGGGAATCTGGCATAAGACTAGGGGGCAAACTGTAGAATTGTACAGTACAACTCAGAACCTGTGTTCTGTCATCCCTCTGATCACACATAGTGAAGCCAGAACAGTCCACAACCTCTACTCACAGATGACTAAGGAGCTGAATGACCTGGAGTTGTAACTGATGATGATGAAGAACAAGTTTGATGTAAAGATTATGGCTCTGAGGCAGGGTATTAACTTCTTAGCTATAGTAGCAGAAGCCTCTGTAGATAGTAGGGTGGAAGAGATAGAGTAGGAAATAGAACAGGGTAGAAAGTAGAGAAATAAAAGTCCAGTTTTGTTTTTATGAAAAAAAAACTGGAAACATAAGGAATAAACAGAATGGAACAGAAATGAATGGAATGGATAGGAAAATAGATAAAATAGAGAGTTAAAAGGAATGGAATGGATGGATGGATATTTTTATGATTTATGTATAGAACTAGTGGAATAGGATAGGAATAGGTGGAAAAGAATCATAATTTGTATAAAGGTTTATATGCTTATAGAATGTTGTATGAGCTTTTTGCAATTTATTGTAAATGAAAAGGAATGTAACAGAAGATTGGAAGTATGTGAA